CTATTTTGGTAATCCTAATTAATCCCTACATTTGGAAAGCACCGGTCACCCCCAGAAATTAAAGAAATCCAAAAACATGGGACGTAATAGTCAACGCTGCATCCCACCATCATTACTTCTCGTGTATTTTTTTCCCTAAAAACGGCATAACATCAAACGTAACTGTCAATAATTGATCATAATACATTATCGATATACAAAGCTTCCTAGAAATAGTGATAGTACCTAATATCAGCCCTCAACCCCTCGTAACAAACTCTTCTTCCTCGTTAGAATTTAACCCGGCCAGTGGTTTATCGAGAAATTCTACTGAAAGTCTTAGTTTTTGGCGTCCATTTCATGGAAGGTTGTGCAATTTTCGTTGGTATTCCCCCGGGGGGATGGAACGGACGGGGAGTCCCAGTGTTCTCGAGCCCTGATTCAATCGCTGAACACGAAAATTTTCCATTTTCAAGGGACGATTTCAGTGTATCTTTGAATATTAATTTCAAATGCACACTGTCTAATTATTTTTATCGTACGTTTTTGTAATTATTGAAACAATTTAAAATGCATCGGAGGCATGGCAATGCCGCACGGATTATTCCTTGGTTATTTCGAGTTGGTAAACCTGCGGAGTGTTCTCTCTCTCAGTTCCATCGTCTAACCTACACCTCTCATAATTTCCCGGATCATTTTTTCAAATAACTTTATTATGAAATTTAGAAAAATTCTGATTAATCACCCACTAGTTTTTTTTTTAATAGTTCATTATTTTTTTGGGCATGGAGAAAAATATTCAATAAAAATTACATATCTTTTCCGTAATTGCGAAGCGAAATGTGGTTGTACGAAATTTTATGGAACTGTCACAGAATTTTTTCAGAGCGTTCCGTAATTTTTATCTAAATCGCCTGTGACAAAATTACGATGCCGTCACTAAAATTTTCTGAGTCGATTCCGTAATCGGTGAGCGAATTGTGAGTTCCGTAATCTACTGAACATTTCTCTCCGTGGGGGATATGAAAATTTCCCTCATTGAAATGTCATAATTTTTTTTCTCGAGACCGAGATCTCGAAAAAATACTAAAAAATTCCCAATCATGAATTTTTCATTTTTTTCATTATTTTCACTTTTCATACGAAACACCTTAAGCAAACTTTGATTTTATAGAAAAAAATCACTGAATTTTCACTTCTCTTCCGAAATTCATGCGAACGCATACGAAAACTGCACAATTTTTCCCAGAATTGCCGCAGAAAACCAACAGATCTCAATGGAGCTCCCCCAGAACTTCACAACAATTTCTCACAGAAACCGCCGGGACTTCCTATTAAATTTTCTTCGAACTCGTCACAATCGTTCAATTTGATTAAAGCCGTATACATTTTAGAGTGGGTCATGCAGGCGCGATCACACTTTTTGACACTTCGAAAATTTCGAATTGGTGAAATTGCAACTGAAGAAACTGAATCGAAAATCACTTCTCATCTCCAACTGTACATTCTCACGCTTACTATTAACTGATAGAGTGCGCAGAGCGGAATCGATATTTCCTCGTCATACTACAGTAATAATTATGTAATAGTAATTTAATCACTATATTTATACGTACGCGATCAACCGGGTATGTCGCAGATTCGGAGAGGAAACTTCCATGTCCCTTCGTTTATTTTTGTTACTTCATTCATCCAATTAATTTAATTCGTCACATCGCCTCTGTCAAACCCGTTGATTACGCTTATTCACTCGTCTATGGTAATTATTTGAGTATATCGTGCGGAAATGACACGCGCAGCTTAATTACATTAGGGATTAATTTATTAATTAATAACAGTTATGGTTTACGATCACTCGGGTGAGTGATTTCTTTCGAAGGATACTCAAGAACTCGATGTTCTTTTATGGATACTTTTTTTCATGGTACATGCAAATATTTTTAATCTCACGCGGAGAAAAAAATTTACGAAAAATTACTGCATCACTTGAGTAATTGGAGAGCAAGAATCTGCTTCAAGTTGAAAAAAATGAGGGAAAGGACAAATTTTTTGCCCTCTGACGTATTTTTTTGGAACGAATAGTACGAGCTTGGTTTAATTATTTTTAATTGTTATTCTCGCGAATTATTTTCACTCTTCAGTCGTTTTTATATCAATTCTCGTAATTTTTCGCTCATTTTTTTCTCCGGGCACTTTCCTTGCAGTTCATACTGAATTCGCACGAAATACCGTATTTCATTTTTTCCGTTACTCTTGTAATATAAGTGTTATCTATTATTTAGTTCATTATATTTTTATATCGGCAAGCGTTGCACCTCAAAGTGCGATCGAATCAATTTGTTGGTCGTAGCTACTGGAGCTGGACAGAATTGCATTTGGAATTGGCAGATTATTTTATGAAAATACGTGGAATTGAATTCAAAAATAAAAAATTCTACTTATTTCTCTTCCAATTTAAAAAATTATGTTGAATCAATAAAAATGTTCGTGATTAATTTCAGAAAACTTTCGTTCTAAAAATGAGAATTTTATTTCCTCAATTTTATTACTCGCAAAAACTATTTCATTTCAATTTCACGAGCAAAAATAAATGAATGACAACCAATCGACAAAAAAATAATTTAGGATGTCAATTTTAAAAAGTATTTCTATTGAATTCACATGAAATAGTGCCCAACTCTATCTTTTCTTGTCATTATTCAAGACTTCGAATTTTCAGTAATTGTTTTTCTCTGGTTAAATACTATTTTCTATTTTATTATTAAACAATTGATTCAAAAGATATTGAGCTACGCCGCTTGCTCTTATGCCGAAAAATAGATAATGATTTCATTAGAATTCGAAATGTCTCCATTAAATTTGTATCTCATCACTGAATCGTAAATCGTTAATTACCAATAACAGGCTCTCTATGACTACTGAAAAGGTCTACCCTGACACCAAATTACGTATTTAATGTACTAAGAGTAAATATACTCGTCCGGTTTTTGTGCCACGTCGGTTCAAGTTAATGCAATGGATATCCAAGTGCACAAGCGTGGGAAGTGAGAGTCCAATAGTGCAGAAGCATTCAGAAAGTAATGAAGGTGTAATAATCAAGATAATTAACTTCTACAAAGAAAAGTAATAAAGAAGCTGTGCGTGTTACAAACCCCAAATTCTCTCAAACAATTGTAAATCAACGGGTTTTAACAAAAACTACAACCAATTCGTCTAATAAACAAAATAAAACTTGAACACAATGATTCTCTCGGTAACAATATCATCCAAAAAATTAACAATCGTCGCAAAAGAAATTTAAAACAGAAACAAAACGGGGATTTTTTTTTGCCACGGAGAAGAGAAAAGTTGCGCCCGTGCGCACACGGAAAAACAATCCGTTGAATGCGGGGAAAACTTGCGCCATGAATTCTCAGCCGAAAGTGGATGGAAAAATTTGAAAGATGACTTGAACAATTTGTTCATTCAACAAAAAATGAATGGAGCGAGTTGAAGGTGATCTGAAAAGAATAAACAATCTTTTTTTATGTTTAAAAATGCGAGGTGGAGCCGCCGCCATCTTCGGAGCGCCGTCCGGCAGAGGGAGGGGGTCTCCAAGCAAGATGGCGGCGCCCAGAAGTGACCACCACCTCGAATTTTTAAACATTTCTCAAAATGAGTAGCAAAACGTAAAACCGTTCAAGTCGACTTGGCTCTCAACTAAGTTTTCGAGGAATATCTCGGAATCTAAGGGAGACAGCGAAATTTTCGTAATTACATTTTTTGTAGCTCTCAATGAGCTCTGCAAAAAAGATTCTAACGAAAATTTCGGTAACCGCCTTAGATTCCGAGATATTTATCAAAAACTGACCAATAGTCACTTTGCTACTGAAATTATTTATCCTTTTTAGATGAAATCCAAGTCGTTTCGGCAAGAGCGCAGTTTTCCCCGCATTTTATTAGTTTTTTTCATACTCAAGGTCTTCTTTTGTAAGACCTCTTCGGAGAAAGTGTCTTAATTTAAGACATAATTCATCCCTGTGCGGACGGAAATCCGTTCAAACGATATTTCAAATATATTTCAACATAAATTCAGAACATATTTTGATTATATTTCACACATATCACGCGTGACGATATTTACTGCATGCTTTACACGAAATGTGAAATATCTCCAGTAAATTTTTAAAAACAGAAACAAAACTAGGTTTTTGCGATAAAAAAAAATTTCAAAATACACCTGAAAGAACATGGAGGGATTGCGTCGTGTAATACAAATCACTGATATAATTCTTCCCTCATTGGCACGCTTATCAACGACTCCTTAGTCTCTCAAAAATCTTCTCCCGTTGATTTTTCGTTATTCTCCATGTGTATGCGTTCCCCCCAGCGATACAGGCGATATCGATGTCAGTTCTCTGGATGTCAAAGAAGCGGCCCACCTTGAAAGTCGACGTTTACACACCACGAGAACTCGCGTAATCGATACGGCCTTCGAGATTCATGTCCACCTCCCCCCCCACTAACATTTGTTTTTCGTCTTTCCGTTTCTGTACACATGCATGGCCACGAAAAAAATCACATACACACACACTGAATCGTCAATCCATTGGGCATTGCCGAGGAAATTGGCCGGAGAACACTTCCAGAGGTGTTTTGCAGGGGAAAAAAAAGAGAGGAAATTGTTTTCCAGACACGTGACACGTCGCGGCGTCGCACTAGCCGCGGCGTCGCACTAGATTCTGCACTAGCCCTAGTGTCACTCTCTCGGAGACGTGACCCATTCAGTCCGCGATGAGTTTATGTATTCCTGGGTTTGTCGTTCATCAATGAAACTCTCCACTCTTTCTTATTTCTCGATTAAAAAATACATTCTAAGAATCAGTCAGGCGTGGCTGTCAGCCTTTATCGGGACAATTAACAGTGATTTGTCCCGAACTGAACAGCCAGGTAAGTACGTAGGTCGAGGATTTACTCAGCTTGCGATTTGGATCGGCGTTCTTCGTCTAGATCGCTGCCATCGTCAGTTGCAGTGTTGCCACCTATGTCTGGACTTTGCTGACGGCTTTCAGGAGATCGCTCTGCGCTTTGTCGAGACCGGACACGTGGTGCTGCTGGTGCTGAAGGGCACTCTGCTGCTCCTGCATCTTCGCTTGCTTCTCAGCCTGCTGCTTCTTCATCATGTCCTGCTCCTCGCGCTCTCTTCTCGCTTGTTCGTTGATCTCCTTCACAGCTCGCAGCTCCTTTTTCAACTTCATCCGCCGATTTTGAAACCATATTTTAATCTGTCTTTCTGTTAGACACAGGGCGTGCGCTATTTCTATTCGCCGCCGTCTCGTAAGGTAATGGTTGAAGTGGAATTCCTTCTCCAATTCGAGGGTTTGAAATCGCGTGTAGGTCTGTCTACCGCGGCGTCTCGGACAGCCGTTGGGACCTGGAAGGAAATTATCAGCTATTATTTTTAAGTCAGACACGTGCTGGTTTTGGAAGGGCTGTAGGGGGTAGGCTTCCCCGTTTTTCGAGTCTTTAATTTTCATTTTTGAGGAAGAGGATAACTTTTTTGAATGACGTTTTTGTACATTTTGGAATTTCATTTGTAAAAAGTTTGATAAGATTAATGCAACGGTTTTGCTTTGTGCCTTCGGACAATTGGGACCCTAGAAATTAAGTCAATTAAGGCTTCTGATCTTTATGACTTTTTTAAAGACAAAAAAATTCGTCGGATCCTCTATTGCACAACTTTTTTACGTCACATCTGCGTGATTCTTTCACGTTTTCGTCAATCAAACTGCGTGAGATTCTTTCCTGACTTCATACTCTCGATATCAATTCTAAAACGTTTGAAATCAAACTTCGAAGAATTCAGTGGCGAAAGGGTAAAAGGAGATGAGTGAATTTCGACTATTGACCAGTTTTCAATCAATATCTCGGAATCTAAGGGAGATCGCGAAATCTTTGTTATAACCTTTTTTGTGGAGCTGATTGAGTGCTACAACAAATGTAGTTACGGAAATTTCGATATCTCCCTTAGATTCCGAGATATTGATTGAAACCTGGTCAATATTCAAAATTGATTTATCTCCTTTTACCACTTCGCTGCTGAAATGATTAATTTAATGAATTTTCTAGAAAATGTTGTCATGAATCAGGATTTTTGTTCTGTTGTTCCAAAGATTGTATTTTTTTCTGGGAAAGATTTTTTAAGGCAAAACGGATGTGCCACGGGTTTCTCCTTTTTCTCAAGGCACCCCTTGATGAGTGTCACAAATCTTGCGCATTTTTTGTCATGCCCTTTAACTTTCTCCCGGACAAAAGAGTAATTCCGACGGGTCAGTTTTATTGCAGGGGTTGAGAGACTCCGGCCCAGTGCCTTCGGAGTGCAGTTGTGGAAAAAGGGAAAAATAGAAAGTTTTCTCTGCAGTTGGTCGGAAAAAAAGGTTGACCATTACACGGTTCTAGTGAACCCTTTCCAAAAAAATTCAACGTTCCTGTGTGGGAAACTTTCACTCCTGGGTACAGAGGTAAAAAGTGGTGGGGAGGGGGCGAGAGAGCCGTAAATGGACAGTCGACTTATTTTATACGCACAGGGGACGTTTTTTTATGGTGTTTGGGTAGCATCGGGAGGTAAACACGAGGAAAATATGTGTTCAGGTAAAAAATTGGGTGTCTGTGGAGTATATCTTCTGTAATTCTTCAGAATTCGCATTGCAATTGTCGGGGAAAATAACATAAATTATTTTTCTCGACAATTACATTGCGAATTTTGAAGAATTATTTGTTATTTATTCATGAATATTGTTCATTTTCTCCGAAACATGAATTGTATGTAATCATTAACATTTTGGGGAATTCAAGGAAATTATAGTTTATGGGAAGATGAAGGTATTTGACCCTTGTGAAAATTGTTAACATGTTCCATGTATATTATACGTGGAAAAATGCTGGTTTCATGGAAGAATTTTCACAATTCTCGAAACCATCGTTTCTCACTACTTTCTAATGGAAAATATGAATAAAAACATCGTTTCTAAAAATAAAAAACGTGTATTTTTCTAGACACTAAATATTTTTCTATAATTTTTAGGAAAAAAATTTGTATGGAATCCCAAAAATTTTATTTTGTGAAACTGGAATTTCCTCAAAACCAGGGAAAAAACGGAGTTGATTTTATAAAATAATTTCTCCACGAAATCGAAAAATTAATGAAAATAAGAAAAATTTTAAATTAAAAAAAAATCCACTAATTTTTCTTTCTAAATTTTAATCATCTTTTTTTCTGGACACATTAAAATTAAGAAGGGGTTGAGGTAAGAGGAAATGAAAGTCCGGGATTTTTTGCTGGATTTAGTCAAGTCAATGGTTTTTTGAAAAAAAGAATAAATAAAAAGTAAAACGCTACACGACTTCCTCCGTGCAATTACATTTTCTCTGTTTCATTTTGCTTTTCGCCTCCTCCAGTAATTTTCGTTGAGAACAAAAGAGCGAGGGGGAAAGCCAAGATCCGCGCCATTTCGTTCTCTTGCGGCGAGTTAACGCCCGTTTCATTCTTCCCCTGCACGAAAAACCGGTTTTCGTCTTATTTATTTTTATTTTTTATTTTCTACTCTTTCGTTCATTTCTTTCGCTGGGTGGTAGATGGGTGCCACACAATGGCGCAGGGAGAGGACGAAAACATCTCAGGATTTTGATCCCCATTGTTCTGAGTATTTGGGATGAAACAAAAGGCGTGCCACAGGAATTATCGCAATTTGTGGAGATATTTCGAAGCATGGAAATGACGAATTGATAATTAATGGAGAAATTAAATTCCATTATTATGAATTATAATTTTTTTATGATTGAATCGAAGTTTTAAATCATTGAATTTTATTTTGGGACAAAAAATTGTTGAATGAAAAATTTTACCGAAAATTTACGTCAATTGAAAATAAAAACATGAATATTCAGCATTAAATGACATGAAATTTTGAATAAGACAAAAATTCATAAATATATTTATTTACGAATTGAGATCAATTGAACTGGACTTTACGGTTCCATTAAATCCTTTTTAAAAGGCAAAAAATTATGGAATTGATAATCACACAAAGATTTCAATTAATGAGAAATTGAAGAAATTTTTCATCCAAAATTTGTTGATTTGTGTAAATTTTCATGGAATAATTGAGTTGAGATTTCCAGTTTTGTCACGATTTTTTCATCAAATCCCAAGTGTCCAATGACGAAATCCCTCCAAATGTCAATGTCACGGTCCTAAAGAGAAAGAGAAACCAAGACCTAATCAACATATTAAACCAAAACAAACTAGAAAATAAATCGCCAATTGAAGAATTATTCATCTGCGAGAATCGCCGGTTCCCTCATTTCCGTATCGACGTCATTATCTTCTGAAACACCTCGAATCGCTGAGTTGTACGACAGCTTCAAAGGACTCCATCAACGAATCCAACAAAGACATTACCATAAAGGAATTCTATTTTAAACCGAAAAATGCACGGCAGAGTTCTAAGTAACGTTTATGCGGCTCGCTCAATATCGAGCGTCGACGATGGAGGGAATAACGTCGAAGATGTAAATTGTGAATGATAATGGTCTTCCGGAGTGTCAGGAGAGGCACTGCGACAGGCAAGTGATGAGAATTGCTTCCAAGACTTCCCAGACGTGTTTTTATTTTCCATTATTTTTTCCAATGGAGAGAAATTCTCAATGTCATTGGAGTTGTTCTCAATGAATGGAGACGGAGAGAAAAAATTTGTTCTGCCGAAAAAATCTACGGGTGACTGAGTCTTTGGCACAGCCGTAATTATTTTCCTTATAATTAATTAATTAATTAATTGAAAGACCTAAGTAAAACTTGTCAGGTCCAATTATTCGACTCGGGTGTCTTCTAAATTAAATCCCCTGCGATAATATTCCCGGAATGTCAATTAATTCTGATAGTTTCCATGGAAATGATTCTTTTATTCATATCTTCGATCCTCTGCCTCACGTGTCAACGCAGTCCCAGCTGCAAATTTATAAATTCAGATGAGCAGAATATTGCGCTCGAACATTGAAAAATGTTCACATAAAATGAAAATGTATTCAAAACATTCAGAACATAATGTAAAAGAATGGAGCGATTTATATTTTTTGCACCGGCTGCATTGAGAGAAAAAAAAGCTCTGTCGATGGAGTGGAACAGATTTACTTGAGGAAGTCAACTAACTTTTATCTTTTACAAAAATTGAATTTTTATCGTCATCATCAGAAATATCCCTAGAAGAATTCGAGCTGTTGGGAGGAAAAAATATAATCTATTGTACGACAATCATTTGATCTGAGAGAACTCCATAGGTTTATACCACAGAAAGAATACATTGACGAGGAAAGAATATTTTTTCCCCAAAATTGTCCCCTCGAAATTATTTAGTTTTGCCAATAACACAGTTTTCGGCAAGGAAATTGTGGTTTCCTCTTGAAATTATCATTTGTTCCATGGAAATTACAAGTGTTTATTGAACAAAGATATACACAACTCAATAACATTGACTTGATAAACCCGGGGCTCATATAATTTTCAGCAGAAACCAATAAATGTCTCACGAGAATAATTTCCAAATTGTTCCCCCATTGTACAAATAAATCCTGCCCCCTTACCCACATCAACCGACAAAAAAAGCCACCGGAATACCAAAAACAAATACTCCAACCAAACCCAAAAAGTACTAAAAATTTTCCCGCAATTGTCCTCCCGCCTCGCCATTCATCCTTTCCCCACCGAAATCCATTCTACCAGAGCCCATAGAAAGGTCAGTTACATTCTCGATCCGTCCCACCGCCCTAGGAAACATCAAACTTCACGGTGCTCTGGCCATTTCCATATCACCTAGTCTCCTCGCATTAACGAGTGCCAGGCTCGTTGAACGATGGCCCTCACGAGTGAAGGAAAAAAAAAAAATCACCGGGAATTCGCAGAATGCCGATATTGAATTCAACATGGCCGTGCCCCGGAGTAACATGTACACAGGGATTACACGGTTCGTGGGCTTTTCCCCCGCGCGTGCACGTGTATTCGTGTATTTCTGTACATTTGTATTGGTAATACGTAGATGTAATGGGGTGCGCTGCCCTCGGATCCGGGGGAATGCCATCGTGGGGTGGCTTGTGCCGGTGGGAAGGGTGAGCGGTTGCCCTGGCAACCCAAGGGGAAGCCATTTCGTACTGCTGACGGTGTATCACGGGGCTGCGAGGATGAAAATGGAGAGGGAGAACGAGAGAGAGAGAGAGAGAGCGAGAGAGAGAGGGACGTCCCGTGAGGCTGTGCATGCTCTTCCTGGTGTTTCCCCCGAGTTCAAGAGCTTCCTCACAGCATTCTCTTAATACTCTCGTAAATATTACCGTGAGTTGGCATATCATTGCACCAAACATGTAATACTCATCCCCTGTACCATG